GCCAGCATGGGGCGACGGCGCTGCAAGCTCTGAAAAAAGAGCGCTGGCCTGCAGTGTCAGGGATGTGGTGTGGGCTGTGACTGGCAGCAGAGAGGAACTGCATACTGGCACCAACCAAGATCTTTGAGTCTGCAGCCAGAGAGAGTAGATTTCCTGTGTGGGAAGAGCCTATAGTTTTATTTTTATGGCCTGTTTTGCACTATAAATTTATTGTAAGTTTACAAATTGTATTGTAAATTGTTTTATACTTTCAAATTTCACATTTAAGATGGAAACGTCTAATTCATGTACAGTTTCAGTGTTTTTTCTTTACTAAAACTCTCCAGATTATATATTCTGTGTCCCTTTGTTTCTCCTTCATTTTAACCTGTTTTTCAGTAGTTTTAAGCATGCAGTAAATTGAAAATAACTTCCAGATATTGAAAGTTCCAAGTGTTCTGGAAAAATGGACCAAATGCACTCAACAAGGACATTTTTTGACCCTTTTTATAGTCAAAATAAGCTCAAAACATCCAGGTGGACATTTTGAGGCTCACGCTTTAAAGGCGTTCAGAAAATAGACTGTATGCTTTTGATTATGGCTATCTGGAAAAGAAAAACAAACCAACAAATATAAACTTTGACTGTGGAGGAAATGGATTAGGGTTAAATGCATCACAAACACTGTGTTTGGTCACAAACATACCTTTGATATTTGGTGACCTGGTACCAGAGGATGACTTGCACTGGCATTTGTTGTTCTTGTTGCTAAACATTATAAACATTGTGTTCTCATACTCCATCACAGAAGGTATGACTGTGTATTTGAAGCACCGGATTATTGAACATCACCAACTCTTNTATTCTTGAGTCTATAAGGTAACAATAATATAATAATAAGATAACCTTGTTTGAACTGTGAAATGGGTTTGGCTAAAAGAAAATTTTGGTTTTGTCTATACTACTAGGTACTTATACTATACTGGGTTAAATAGAATTGCATTACTAGAAAGAGAAATAAATAAGAAATAAATAATAAAATAAAATTTTATAAAATTTTCATTGACTAAAATGTCATCAGTTTTCGTCGACTAAAACTAGACTAAAATAGTCGTGCATGATTCTGACTAAAATAAGACTAAAATGCTCAGACTTTTAGTCGACTAAAACTTGACTAGACTAAAAAGAGTATGAACGTGACTAAAACTAATAAAAACTAAAATGACAGCTTGACACAAAGACTAGACTAAAACTAAAATTAAAACAGGCCGCCAAAAACAACACTAGTGTGGAGTTGAATATCATGTTGGCCTCTTTGTTTGCACAGGCACTGATGAAAACATGCCGGTGTTCAGCAAAATAGTCTCTATCATTTTGCATTATGGTAAAGTTGTTTTTGTTTTGGTCGAGCATGAAACTTGTTTCCATGATCATTTCCATGCTTTTCAAATAAGTGAAAACATCCCTAACAAGGTACTGGTTCTGGAAATGGATAGATTAAGACATTTCAAATCTTTTGATGCTCAAATGTCCTATGGGTGTTATTCACATTTATATGTTGTGTCAGAGGGTTGTGTTATTTAATGGATCAACATTGCTGGCGTAATAGCTACTGGTAGATGGAATTCACACACACACACACACACACACACACACACACACTCACTCACACACACTGTTTTTGTACTGTTTGTACTGTTTTGTACTTTGCAAGTTTGAAGTCTACCTCATGTTATTCCTGCATTATAGGAATCTTGTCAGACATTTGTATTTATATGTCTGTACATTTACATACAATGTTTGCACTTTGTCACTTTTTCTTTGTGGTTTGCTGTAACATGTTGTACAACACAGTTTATGATACAAAATGTCAAAACATGCAATTTAAAATAAAAATGTGTGACAATCAATGTTTTTTGTTGTTGGTTTTGTAGTAATTTTTAACATATATTTAAGTTTTGACTGTTAACACCATAAAAGAGTTCACATTAAAATTAACTCCGGGTGAGAGTTGCATTTTACCCCAAATGGGAGTAGTTTTTTAACTCCCACAAGTGTTCAATTTTAACTCCAGAAAAGAGTTACTTTAACTTTTCCCTGGATTACATTCGACGGTCTCACATGTACACTCAAATGTAGTTGATATAAACTCCCAGAGAGTTTATTCCAAAGGCCAGAATTTGCTGTGTAGGGGAGTTTTTGTTCGCTGAATCTGCTAGTGTGTTTTGTCCTAGTTGATGATAGTGTTGTTTGTGGTAGCATAGGCAAGATAAAGGAGAAAATAGTTGTGGTGTGAGGAGCAGTGATGGCTGGCATTAGGGGAGTGACTCTGGGACGCCAGTTATCACTGTCTAGCCTCCTGGAGGTGTCGTGGGATCAACTAGACGAAACACTGGTGAAAGGAGGTTCCCACCTGATGACCCCAAAGACATGTTAGTTATCACTGCTCATTAGTCTGTATAGCTAAATTAATAGTTATCAAAGGACTTAGGATGTTAAGCTTAGAGAGCTATTCACTGAGTCTTGGGTCCATTTTCTGTAGCACAAGTTTCTTGTATTTACCTTAAACTTTTGTGTCTAGCTGTTTAACTTTTGACATGAACAATGTTTTCATTTTCATAGATTCTGTATTTTTCAGTTAGGAAGCAGGAGAAAAATTTGTTAGGTTAAGTTATCGAGCAGAAGATGGTCAGCATGTACAAACAAGGTGCCGAACCTCCACAGAGCTCTATAGACATTGAGTTTCTCACCTAATCAGTTTATGACATCCTCCCAAACCCACCCAACCTGCATATCTGTAGCATGGTGACCACTCCCACTTGCTACCTGTGGCAGAAGAAGAGCACCCTGGAGTATATCCTCAGCCGCTGGTGTTGGGAGAAGGGCTGATGTCACAACCAGGTGCTAAGGTCATTGGTGGATACAATCAATACAGCGATTCACTGCAGCAAGAATTAGCATGCTCCCAAACAATCCACCAACTTCATTAGAGCTGGGGAGAAGGCACAGTATCAGCACAGCTCCTCTGGAGGGCTTTTTACCTCCACTCAGGACTAGCATCTCCAGTTGACCGAGGAAGGCAGCTCAAGCTCCGGGGAAACATTGTGACCACTTTGCTCTGTCCAGATACGGCATGTAAAAACCAAGTTGTCCTGCTGTAACTTACTATCACTGGGGCAAAGTAAATAGAAGAGGCCAATGAGCAGAAAAGGGCTAAAAACGAGTGCAGTGGAAAAGGCAGGAGAGCCATGGCTTTGCTGGCCATTCCCTATGGCGAAAAACTCACTCTCCTTGGTGTAAAAGGACTGCAGTGCAGAAAAGCCACCACTAACATTCTGGAGGCTACAGAAAAAGGCGTCAATGTGGCTCTGGATCCAGAGGGGGGAGCCATGGATTGCACCACTTGGACGCAAGTGAGAGGTTGATCACCGCTGGCTGGGTGGCCTGGGTCAGGGAGTGACCCAAAACACCCTATTTATCACTGAAGACATGTCCAAGTAGCACCAGAAGGTGTATTCAAACTTTTGCAGAAAAGCAATATCAGACACAAGTTATATGTCTTAATCTGCAGGCGATCTTTATACACACTGGTATGTCAGTGACAATTTGTAAGTTGGAATATCACATTCATGTTTAGTTCAGTTTAGTTTAGTAGTAAGTGAGGGATCAGGGGTGTATTCAGTTTCTTTCCTCTGTCTCATTTCCTACCACTTGTCTCCTCAAAGGGAGGAAATGAGGAGGAGGACAGAGGAAGGGGGAGTGATGGGAAGAATAAAGGAATGAAAGAAAGTAGGATGGTGGGAGGGAAAGTAGAGGGTATGGAAATAAAGGAGGTAGGGAATGAAAAGAAGAAATAGATAATGAAATGAGAGGGGAATCAGGTGGGAATTGAGGGAGGAGGTAAGGAAAGAAGTATGGAAGGAAATGAGGAGTAAGTGCAGGGATAAAGTAAGGAAGAAAATAAGGAGGAAGTGAACCAAAAGAAGAAGAAAGGAAGGAAACAACAAGGTAGGGAAGGAAAGAAGTAGGAAAGGAAGGAAAAGATTGCATAGGGAGCCAAATGAGGAGAAGGAAGGAAATGAGGAGGGTAGAAAAAGAAAAGGTGAGGTATGGAAGGAAAGAAGGAGGTAGTAAAGAAAGGGAGAAGGTAAGGAAGGAATCATTAGGTATGACAGGAAGGGAGGAAGTAAGAAAGGAGATGGTAAAGGGGAGTGAAATGAGCTAGTTAAGAAAGTGATAGGATAAGGAAATAAATCAGGAGGTAGGGAAGGAAAAGAAAGAAAGAAAGAAGAAAACAGAAGAAGAGATTGGATGGTAAATCATATTCATGTTTAGTTCAATTTAGAATAGTAATGTATTTGTTTGGGACTATTTTCCACAGGGGATTAATCCACATTTGGTGCTCTGGTGAGTATTTGACCAGCAACACAGTTTTGGGACTGACTACAACTGACTACAGTATGTACTTATGGCTGTGTTACACATTATATTTAATGTCATATCTACTGTCTCTTTGACCTGGAGCACCAGGAAGCTGCACTGTTGGTTTTGTACATAGATAATTTCTGCACATATACTTATTTCTCAGCTTTAGACACAGGAGGATCAGTTTGTTGTTGGGTTGAGTCATTTCATGTGACTAATGTGAAGGATCATTTTGTCAAAACTCTTGCACCAGGGGGCACCCCAGTGGTTCACCTAGTAGAGAACATACCACTTAGGCTCAGTCATTATTGCAGCAGCCTTTGGTTTGAGTCCAGCCCATAGCACTTTGCTGCATGTCATCCCCTCTCTCTCCCCAACCTTCCTGTCACTCTCTCCCTGTCCCAATCCAATTAAAGGCAAAAACCACCCAAAAAATATCTCTGAAGAAAAAACAAAAAAATAGAAACCTCTGACACCTGCCAGGTGGAGGAAAGAGTTCACTTCCTCTAAATATACACACATGACACAAACACACATACACAGATGTATTCTGTATAAAGCATTAATTCTCAGTCTGAGTTTCATTTCTCATTTCTCTGAACTGAGGCAGAGTGAAGCTTTAACTGTGTCAGTGCAGTAGCAGCAGTAGCAGCAGCAGCTCTCTGGTAAGTTTCTCCATCTTTCCTCCATCACAGTATTAGAGGAATCACAGCAGAGGCAGATAGTTGAAATAATTGGCTGGAACACACCACAACTGTCATGTCCTTCATCAACTTAATGATTTTAATAAAGAATTACTTTTTTCAAAGGGGAACAAGACAGATTTTTTTTTAATTTCCCACAAGAGTTATTCATTTCTATGTGCTGTTGACTTTTTCTTTCCTATCCAGACTAACATGAAATGAATGAATCATTTCTCATGCCTACTTCACTGGTTAATCCTTAAATCATACTGCAATATAAATCATATATGCACACCTACACTATAAATAAAATAACACAGCACCTTTTATGTTGAAATTTTAATTTATGCAATTTAATTTTTACTCCAATAATGTAATAATATTTCCTTATTATAGCCATAATTCTGTCATAATCACATCATTATTATTATAGATACTGTTCTATATAATAAAGGTCTCCAACAGGTGGGTCCTGAGCTACCAGTAACCAACCCCCTGTTTTAGAGAAGCTCACCCAAAGGTTCAGAGAATATAGTCTGTACAAACCATGGATGTGTGGGTCAGACTTAAAGAAACACACCTTCACTCTTCAACACCAAATCATTATTTGTCAGTGGTTAGTCAAATGACTTATGCTATCAAGTTTTTTTCAACATCAGATCTGCTGCTGCCAACATGCAGTGTAGTGGAAAACTTTAGTGTGATTGTATTTGTAACTTGTCCTCTTATTGAAATGGGAAAAATTAAATCCATCATAATTGTTGCTCTCATGTAATCTCATTTTAAAGTCTTTGTAGTTGATAGGATGTTCCAGTTAGAGCTGAACTGTTCTTGACTGTGATAAAGGAGTAGTTCTTTATCTGAATTCCCCCATTCCCAACATTCAATAATTCTGGACGGATACTCCCACATTCTTGTTTGCCATAGTACAAGAGACAGGATTGTTCTCAAACTTGTTGAATGATTCTATATTTCTGATTTGATTTGGAGATCAGTTTGACTATTTTGATACAATATGTGAATAAATGTGACCAGTAAGACATGAGGAGCTCTCAGCCACTTTGAGTTTGTCAGAGTAGTGCTCAGAGCGGAAAAGGTTGGAGACCCCTACTTTAGATTATTATTATTATACATTACATTACATTATACATTTACCTCTCCTTTTCCACAACTCCTCCAACCTGAAATAGCACCCCTACGACAGCCGGCATGCCAGACATATTATTGTTATGGTTACAATAATAAACACGTGGACTGCACCGATAGTGGCATAACTACCTTTGTCACCATGGTTACTATAATAACGGTCATGGCTTGGTTATGTTTAAGAAAAGATCATGATTTGGGTTAAAAAAGTACTTCCTCAACATGAGACGAACTTTATTTCCATGGTTACAATATAAACTGCTGGTTTCACATGCAAATCGAACACCGTTCGTCTGTGTCATATTCATTCATCCAACACAATCTCCTCCTGATGTGGACTTTGTCTCTCCTTATACTACGCCACTGCACTTTTCCCTTTGCTCCTGTCATAATTACTACAACCACTAGATGTCACCTAGCAACAAAACCTAACTATGGGTCATAATAACGTGCCGCACAGACGACCTATGGGCTTGTTTTTTCCGGAGGACAGTCTCCTACCTTTATTACCACCTTTATTTCCACTGCATGTCTGCCACGCTCTCTGGCTGAAATAAACGGTTTGATTGATCTGTGTTTGGTGTTTGATTAGTGTGGATCATCATATGAACAAGATGAGGAACTCGGTGCTGCTCATTGTGCTCCTGCTGCAGCTGCCAGTCACCACCACAAAGGGAGGACACTGGGAGGACTACAAATATGGCCTCCAAAACTCAGAGAAGGACAAGAACCAGTTCTGCTGCTCATGGAAATGCCTCCTGTTCACCGTGCAATGGCCCGGAGGCTTCTGTCAGGTGAGCTTCTTCATCATCATCATCATCATCATCATCATCATGAACACTGATTATTAACTCAGAAGATGAGATTAATTCATGTGGAGTAAAAGAGGTTAAAGTCTTCAGATCAGATTTGAGGGATCGGGGGTGTGTTCAGCTTCTTTCGTGACAGGAGTGACCGGAAGAACAAAGCAATGACAGAAAGGAGGATGGTGGGAAGGAAAGTAGAGGGTATGGAAGTAAAGGAGTTAGGGAATTAAAAGAGAACATAGAGAAGGAAGTGAGAGGGGAATCAGGTGGGAATTCAGGGAGGAGGTAAGGAAAGAAGTATGGAAAGGAAATGGGGAGTTAGTGCAGTAGGGAGAAGGTAAGGAAGGAATCATTAGGTATGACAGGAGGAAGGAGGCAAGAAAGGGATGGTAAAGGGAAGGGAAGGAAGGAAATGAGCTAGTGAAGAAAGATAAGGGATCAGGAAATAAATCAGGAGGTAGGGAAGGAAAAGAGGAGAAAGAAAGAAAGAGAGATGCAAAATAATGAAAGAGAATATAGTGAACAGAAGAGATAGGGAAGTAAATGAGGATGTAAGAAATGAAGGGGTAAAGGAGGAAATTAGGTGGTGGGAATGATAGAGAAGGTAGTGAGGGAAAGGAGGGGGGAAGGAAGGACAAGAGGAGGTTGTGAACTGAAGGGTATGGAGGGAAATCTTTAGGTAGGGAAGGAAAGAAGGAGGCAAGAAAGGTGTAGCGTTAACGCCATAATTTAGAATTTACTCTCGTTGAAATGGGGCACCAGTCCTCTGGGAGGACAACAATGAATTACTTCATTGACAAATTTATCAATCTCATATCAGAAACCGTGACTTCTCGATTCAATGGATCTCCAGTCTCTATGTCAAAAGAACACAACAGGACAACAGCTGGGTGTAAATAAAGGCGTTTATTAACTAAACTGCTATCTACAGAGTAAATGCAAGGTTTTATAATCATAAAGATGAAATTAATAATGAAATGAGCGATGTGTTGAGTTGGCAATGATGGGAGAGAATATGTTAGGGCTATACACTATGGCTATACAACTAATGATACTGTGTCTACGAATGAGATTTGATGATTAAATATTGCTATATTTTGACATCAATCCTGTTGGGTCTGAGCTCTACCTCATGAGCTGGACACCAAATATGTTGGATTTTGGTTGTCTATCAATTTATCGGCTATCATAAATTAAGAAAAATATTAATATTAAAAATATTAATGTTAAATAATAACTTTAAAATTAATTAAATTCCTCGGGGCCCCAGCCTACACTAATAGGCAAAATAGCCAATATGGTTTCAGTCTCAATTTATTACCATTAATCTGGAACTCTGATTAACAATTAGAGTTTACTAACTATAACCAAATTACCATATCAACAGTAAGTTAAAGTTGAAGGATTGGAATTCTATAAAGTAGAGGTTGGCAATATTCACGCTTGTGCAACATTAAACACACCAGTAGTTATACTTAAAGGCATTTATTTACAATGGAGCAGAGTAAAACACAATGTCTAATCTAGTATATACAGGTGTGTGTATGTGTGTGTGTAGGGGTATGTGT